GAAGACTCGCACTACCTGACCTCAGAACCTACTATACAGCTACGGTAGTCAAAACAGCCTGGTACTGGTACAACGACAGATACATTGACCAGTGGAACAGAATTGAGAACCCAGATGTAAATCCGGCCATCTACAGTCACCTGATCTTCAACAAGGGCCCAAAAGTCCATCAAATGGGGAAAAGACAGTCTTTTTAACAAATGGTGCTGGCAAAACTGGATGTGCATCTGCAAAGAAATGGAACAGAACCCATACCTCACACCATACGCAAAAACTAATTCAAAATATATCAAAGACCTAAATATAAAGCGAAAATATATAAAGTTCATAGAAGAAAAAATAGGATCAATACTAGAGGCCCTAATAGATGGCATTAACAGGATATGAACCATAACCGACAACACACAAACTCCAGAAGGTAAGCTAGATAACTGGGATCTTCTAAAAATTAAATACTTATGCTCATCAAAAGACTTCACCAAAAGAGTAAAAAGAGAACCTACAGACTGGGAAAAAAATTTTTGGACCTTACAAGTCAGACAAAGGTCTAATCTCTAAAATCTACAAGAAAATCCAACACCTCTACAACAAAAGACAAATAATCCAGTTAAAACATGGGCAAAGGAAATGAACAGATACTTCACCAAAGAAGACATAAGCGGCCAACAGACACCATGAGGAAATGCTCACCATCACTAGCCATTAGCGAAATGCAAATTAAAACCACAATGAGATACCATCTCACCCCAGCATTAGTGTCACGAATCAGAAAAACTGGAAATAACAAATGTTGGAGAGGCTGCGGGGAGATCGGAACTCTTCATGCACTGCTGGTGGGAATGCAAAATGATACAACCGTTTTGGAAAATGGTATGGTGCTTCCTTAGAAAGCCTGAAATAGAAATACCATATGATCCAGCAATGCCACTCCTAGGAATATAGCCTAGAGAAATAAAAGTCGTCACACAAATAGACATATACACACCCACGTACATTGCAGCATTGTTCACAAAAGCAAAATGATGGAAACAACCTAGACACCCATCAACAGATGAATGGGTAAACAAACTATGGTACATAAACACAGTGGAGTATTATGCAACAATAAAGAACAATGATGAATCTGTGAAGCATCTCATACTATGGATGAAACTGGAGGACCTACGCTGAGTGCAATAAGTCAATCACAAAAGGACAAATATTGTATGAGACCTTTGCTGTAAAAACTCATGTAAAAGTTTACACACAAAAAGAAACAATATTGGTTATGAGGGATAGGAGGGGTGGGGAGGGGAAATACTAAATAGACAATAGATAAGTGGTAACTTTGGTTAAGGGTAAGACAGTACACAATACTGGGGAAGCCAGCACAACTTGTACAAGGAGAGGTCATGGAAGCTCCATAGACACATCCAAACTCCCTGAAGGACTGAATTGCTGGGCGGAGGGCTGTGGGGACCATGGTTCAGGGAACATGTAGCTCAGTTGGCATAACACAGTTTATAAAGAAAGTGTTCTACATTCTACCTTGGTGAGTAGCGTCTTGGGTCTTAAAAGCCTGTGAGCAGCCATCTAAGATACTGTACTGGTCTCATCTCTTTGGGAGCAAGGGAGAATGAAGAAAATAAGATAAAGGAAGGATTAGTCCAAAGGACTAATGGACCACAACTACCACAGCCTCCACCAGACTGAGTCCAGTAGAACTAGATGGTGCCTGGCTACCACCACCGACTGCTCTGACAGGGATCACAATAGAGGGTCCCAGACAGAGCTGAATAAAAATGTACAACAAAATTCTAACTCACAAAAAAAGACTAGACTTACTGGCCTGACAGAGACTGGAGAAACCCTGAGAGTATGGCCCCTGGACACACTTTTAGCTTGGTAATGAAGTCACTCCTGAAGTTCATTGTTCAGCTGAAGATTAGACAGCCCCATAAAACAAAACAAGACTAATGGGGCACGACAGTCCAGGGACAAGGAGTAGAAGACAGGAGGGGACAGGAAAGCTGGTAATAGGGAACCCAAGGTTGAGAAAGAACAGTGTTGACTTGTCGTGGGGTTGTTAACCATTGTCATAAAACAGTATATGTACTATCTGTTTAATGAGAAACTGTTTGTTCTGTAAACCTTCATCTACCGTAAATAAAAATTAAAAAAAAACGAAAAATAGAATATTGTCCAACATATTACTGGAAGATGGACATGTAGGAAGTCACTATACAGTGGCCACAACAATATACTTGAGCATACCAATGATTATGAAGGTGGCACAGGAGTGGGCAACATTTCATTCTGTTGTACATGGGGTCATCATAAGTTGGAGTCAACTCCACAGCAACTAACAACAACAGCAACAACAAAGGAATAATAATCTCAATATCAAAGGCCTTTTCTGAGTTTATTTTCACAGAGAATCAGTGGCTGGGCTCCTGGTCCCCTGGCATAGACTCTTAAGTGAACCACTTACAGTGAGTCTGTTCTAGAGATGCATGCCCTGCCCTCACCCCCATATATGGGGAAACTACACCTCTCTTCCCCTCGTTTTACTTGGATCCACAATCAATGGCCGTGGAAGCAGCAGTCAAGAAATCAAACAACGTATTGCATTGGGCAAATCTGCTGCAAAAGACCTCTTTCAAGTGTTCAGAAGCAAAGATGTCACTTTGAGGATTAAGGTGTGCCTGACCCAAGCCATGGTGTTTTCAGTTGCCTCGTATGCATGGACAATGAATAAGGAAGACCAGAGAAGAATTGATGCCTTTAAATTATGGTGTTGGCGAAGAATATTGAGTATACTATGGACTGCCAGAAGAACAAACAAATCTGTCTTTGAAGTACAGCCAGAATGCTCCTTAGAAGCAAGGATGGCGAGGAAGACCCCGAACAAAATAGATTGACACAGTGGCTGCCACAGTGGGCTCAAACATAGCAATGATTGTGGGGATGGCACAGGACCAGGCAGTGTTTCATTTTGTATTACACAGGGTCACTATGAGCTGGAACTGGCTCCACAACACAACAACAACAACAAACCCTCCCGGCCCTGCTAAGGGACCAGCAGCCACATTTTATTGCACATAACACCTAGTCTCTTCTTTACAGTGAATTGAACCATGAGTGGTCGTTTGACCCTAGGGAAACAGATTGGATAAATACTATCCTGTAATAAGGAAGCATTGATGGTTCAGAGGTAGAATTCTCGCCTTCCATGCAGGAGACCCGGGGTTGACTGCCAGCCAGCGCATCTCGTGCAATCACCACCCCTCTGTCGTTGGAGGCTTGCATGTTGCGATGATGCTGAATGGGTTTCAGTGGAGCTTCCAGACTAAAACTAGGAAGAAGGGCCTGGTAATCTACTTCTGCAGATCAGCTAGTGAATAGGGATCACAACAGTCTGATCCACAACCAATCATGGGGATAGTGTAGGACCAGACAGCCTTTTATTCCATTGTGCATGGGGTTGCTATGTGTCAGGAGCCAACTCAGCTGAAGCTAACAGCAACAGTCCTGTGATAAAGCAGTTAAAAGTCCCTGGGAAAATGGCTGTATATATTAAGAATCCTTACAATTATGTTTTGAGCTATCAATTCTACTTCTGCAAATTTATCCTGAGGGAATAAATGCAGTGTTATCTTTAATAGCAAGGAATTGGAAGCAACCCAAATGTCCAACAGACAGGGGCTGGATAAATAAATTATAGAAGAGCTGTGGATTGGAATACTATTTAAAAAAAAAAAAAAAAGCCCATTGCCATTGAGTTGATTCGAACTCATATCGACCCAATAGGACAGAGTAGAACTGCCCCAAAGGGTTTCCATGGAGCCACGGGTGGATTCAAACTGCTGACCTTTTGGTTAGCAGCCAAGCTCTTAATCACTGTGCCACCAAGGCTCCTGGAATACTATACAGGCATATAAAGGGTGCCACAGAAGCATGAGCGAGGACATGAGAAGATCTTCACATTACAGTATTTCATTAAAGGAGCAAGTTATAAAAGTTATGAACATGTAAGGTGTTGTGGATATATTGTTAATTGGGAAGATAATGTAGATTACAAAAAAGTATTACTATACGATCTAGTTTTCTTAAAAAAAAAAAAGTGCATATACATGAACCTACATGGCCAAATTCTGAATGGATACATCAAATATCTCAGTCTGTATTTTGGTTTTTTAAGCCTGTGGTATAATTTATTTTGTGGATAGGTAATGCACTTCTGTCCACCACCTGTCAGTTTGTCATTCTGTGGTGGCTTGCATGTTACGGTGCTGGAAGCTATGCCACTGGTATTTCAAATACCAGCAGGGTCACTCATGATGGACGGGTTTCAGTGGAATTTCCATACTAAGACAGAATAGGAAGAAAGGCCTGGTGATCTCCTTCCAATAATTAGCCAGTGAGAACTTATGGATCTCAACAGATCATTGCCTGACTTGATTGCTTTGGACATGTCATCAGGAGGGATCAATCGCTGAAGGAGGACATCATGTTTGGTGAAGTAGAGGGCCAGAAAAGGGTGAAAGGAGACCCTTGGTGAGATGCATTGGTACAATAGCTACAACAGTAAACTCCAAAATGCTGGCGATTATGAGAATGATGCAAGAGCGGGAAACATTTCATTGTCTTATACCTAAGGTTGCCATGAGTTGGAGTCAGTGGCAGCTGTCTATCTTAATGTAGTTATATGGTTCAAAAATTGAAACAGTACTAGCAGGTTTACATTGAGAAATCTCATCCTCACCTCTGTCCCTGGCTTCTTCCTCACCTTTTGAAAGTTAATTACTTTTAGGTTTATGTTAGCTTCCCAGTGTTTCTTTATGCAAATACTAAGCAAATGTGAATATACTTGTTTCCCCCATTTCTTATACAAAGTGCTATACTGTATATGCTACTGTGCACCTTGCTTTTTTCACTGTTGGGTGATTTTTCAAAACAAAGGTGTAATAGTCTTGGGTCATTCATTTCAGCACTCACAGCATTCTCCCCTCTGCTTACAGATACTGTTGCACTACGCTGCAGACTCTGTGAAAAGAGTTTCCATGGAGCTTGGCGGCCATGCTCCATTCATTGTATTTGACAGTGCCAATGTGGACCAGGCCGTAGCAGGCGCCATGGCATCTAAATTTAGGAACTCTGGACAGGTGAGTCATGGAGAGTTTTTCAGAGACTGGGTGTATGTGTGTGTGTGTGTATGCACATGTGTATTTTACAAAGATCCTACCACCTCTACTCCTTACTGCTCGTCTTCTAGAAATACTTTTGGGTTCATTCCATCATTCATTCTTTATTCATTCACTCTTTCAGAACCTATTTAGTAAGTTTTTTGTTTGTTTTTTTCCCCCAGAGACTATGCTAGGCTCTGGGGTCTAAAGAGAAGTAAGGTGTACTTCCTAGCTTTGAAGAAATTTCCTGAATAACTGACATGCCTTTTAGTCAGTTGTTGTCTCTTCTCTTCTTTCCCCTACCCTTTGAATCTGGTTATGTTGACACTTTTCCTTCATTGGGCTTTTCTCTACTGAACAGGTATAACCATCTTCTCAGACACAAAACCCCCTTCAACGGGCAGAGTCTGAGATCCACAGGGAAGGAAGGTAGAAAAATGTTGAGGATAATGCCTTGAAAAACTCAAAACCCTGTTGCCTACTAAGACCTTCCTGAGTGTCCCTCCTCCTGAGATGGAAGGGGTGTCATGGGCACCCACAAAACGTACATGCCTGAGGAGTGTGCCCAACGAGTGCTCCAGGTTGTCCTCAGGAAAGTGGTGGCCTGAGGTCAGGTCTTAATAGGAAGTCCTGGAGTATTAGATCAGCAGGGACCTTTAGGGTTATCCAATACAAACCTTGCATTTTACAGATGAGGAGAAGCTCTAGAGAGGCTATTTGACTTGCTTAAGGTCATACATCTCTGGGTCACAGACCCCACTCTGCTAAGGAGCTGGGACCATGAGCCAAGGGTGCTGCCTCCCAGTTTCTATCCAAGCTGCCACCAGGATCCTGGCTTCTTAAGAAATATTCATGAGTACTTCGTCCTATAGTACCGTCAACAAACCAAAAAGCAAACCCATTGCCATCTAGTGAATTCTGACTCATGGCAACCCCACGTGTTTCAGAGTAGAACTATGCTCCATAGGGTTTTCAATGGCTGTAATTTTGTAGCAGTAGATTGCCAGGCCTTTCTTCCAAGTGGGTGGATTGGAACTGCTAACCCTTTGGTTAGTACCCGAGTGCAAATTGTTTGCACCACCCAGGGACCTCTAAATGCGTTCCAGAAACAGAGTAAGTATTGCTGAAAGACTGCATTGGGGAAAAAGGTGAACTACTGCATAATATTCTATATTAAATAGTTTCATCCTTGTTTTTAGCCTTTGGCAGTTTATTTTCCACCTAAATAAGGCTGTTTTTTTTTTTCAGAAATAAATTTGTTTTCTTTTACAAACAAAATGCCTTCAGAGTCACTTTATAAAGCTCCAGCTTTGGGGCATATTTCTTTCAGCCAATAAAACTATTAATTTAAAATGCTTGGGGTACAACATTATAGGTATACTCGTTTCAACTAGGAAAATACATGATTAAGAAAAAAGAAAATTTATCAATGATAACTACACTTCCTGTAGTGTGGTTCTAATTTATAAGTTTAAAATATTAGGTCTAATTAGAAAAAAAAAAAAATAAGCCAAGGCGTTTTGAATAATTTTGGCTGACGTGGAAGAATCATCTTGCGTCCATTTTCAAAATGTCAGATTCAGCCAAACACTTGGAAGGCTTATGTTAAAGGATACAAGTTAGCATATGACGTTATTCCTTCTATTCTCTGCTCTCTGATGGCACAACATCATTGTCTATCAGGGGTTATAGTTTTGTTTTTCTATTTGTTTTGTAATGGCTTATCCAAGCCATTTGGAAAAAGAAAACCTGATTAAGTGGTCTTTTTTTTGTCCTTGCACAGATATTTGTTCTTGCATACTTATTTAACCAGAGACACAGCAGCCATGGAGGGCATTGGAAAGGAACGTGCACTTGCTTGGTGCAGATAGCTTTCAGATCAAGCCCACATGGGAAGATAACAGCAGGTTGGACACATGATGAGAATCACCTGGGGAAGTGTCTTCACACTTAAGAGAGGGAGCAGCAACCACAAATTTATTGGTTGGGACACTAGCTTTTAACAGGCTATCTATGTGAGTTGAGTTTTTTTTTTTTTTCCCCTTGTGTCTAGACTTGTGTTTGCTCAAACCGTTTTTTGGTGCAAAGGGGTATTCATGATTCCTTTGTGAAAAAATTGGCTGAAGCAATTAAGAGAGACCTGCGTGTAGGCAACGGATTTGAGGAGGGAACTACTCAAGGCCCATTAATAAATGAAAAAGCCATAGAAAAGGTAAGTTAGTTTTATTATCTGTTAGAGTAAATTTTGTGGTTTTGTTATCAAAAGCTTAAGTAGCAAAAAAAAAAAAACTTTGGTAAGATGCCCAGCAAAGTGATTTTGGAAGCAGTTGAGAAATCTGAAAAAATGAATTTATATTGACTTGTATGAATTGAGTGGCATCATCTGGTCGTAAGCTTTTGTAGCTCTGTCAATGCACACAGTCCCATGTGATCTGTTATTTTAGGTCTCCTACCGCCCTCCCTACCTTCCTTTCTCTAATGGTGATAATCAAGGCTTCTGTCCCTCCCTGCCTCAGAGATGAAGGTCTTGGAACACAAAGTTTTTACATAAAGTCTTTTAAGTTTTTGGAACACCTGAAAGGAGAGGAAAACTGGCTTTGTTTTGAGATTGTTGATATTTCATCTGAAATACTGGCATGGGTCTCTTGTTTCTTCCCTTGACTACAGAATGTCCTTCCAGAAGAATCTTTGGAGAAAGCATCCCAGCAGGAAGATGTATCATCAGATATCCCATGTTCAAGATCTAGAGATGGTGGGATGGTGGGAAAGGGAATCTGCTTTTAGGATCAAGAAGGGTTGGTTTGTTCAAAAAACGAACAATTTAGACTACTAGCTAGGTAGGATTTCTCTCTTTGCTCTACTATTTAAAAAAATTTTTTTTTTTAGTGTTGCATACAAGGACTTTTCTTGTAAGACTAAACATCGAGCACGCTCCCTGGTTAAGTCTCTATGGATAGAAAGGATTTTAATGGAATAATTTAAATCAGGCAGAATATGAAGGCTGGAGGTTCCATGTGGGAATGGAGGCAGGAGAGATGAGCCAAGTCACCACTCAAGTGGGAAACACAACCCCTATTCAGTGACCTTGGTGAGCTGGGGAACAAGCCCTGGAATGGCTACCCTGACCCAGTGGACAGTCAATGCAGCTGAATCCACGTTCCTTACCTTCCACAGTAGAAACAAAGGGACGCGCCTAACTTTGACAGAACTCTGATCAATTTCTAGTTACTGCCTTGAGGTTACTATAAACCAAAAAACCAAACCTGTCACTATCAAGTCAATTCTGACTCATAGCAACTCTATAGGACAGAGTAGAACTGCCTCCTGGCATTTCCAAGGAGTGGCTGGTAGATTCGAACTGCTGACCTTTTGGTTAGCAGTTGTAGCTCTTAACCACTGTGCCACCAGGGCTCCAGGGATTACTATAGATAGAGTAAATATCTTAAAGTTTATGCTAGTACTGCCAGCATTCTTGAGGTGACTTTGGACCCTGGGAACAGACCATGGACGCTCACTTGAAAGCAGTTTGGATCTGTTATGCCATGGGTGGAGTCCCAGAGTGGTGGTTCTCAACTCACCCTGTGCCTCTCATAGCTGGGTGTTAACTAGTCTGGGGTAGGGCCTAGGCATTGGTATTTTTTAAGTGCCCCAGATGATGCTGGTTTGCAGCCAGGTTGCAAAACTGTTGTCCTGGAGGTTTTGTTTTGTTTTAGCCAAAGTGAAGATGCAAATATTGCTCTGTAGAGGGCACTGTTTGCTGGGACTTCAAGCAATCATAATGCAGGATTTTTTTTTTTTAAGGTGGAGAGGTGTTTAATGGAAAGCAGCTTGCTTAAAGACAACCCTTGTGTTTACTTTAGTGTACCTGCAGTCATAGAGTGGATTCCAGCGGGGGCAAACTGCACAACATCACATTTAAGATGACAGGGGCAGAGCAGATTTGGTTTGGGGCAAGAGGATGGTCCCTTATTAAGTATGCTAAATATAATTTCTTAAATATAAATCATAGACCTACGTAAAAAAAAGAAAGATCTCAAATTAACAGCCTAACTCAACAACTCCAGGAACTAGAAAGAGAAGAGCAAACTAAGCCTAAACCTACCAGAAGAAAAAAAATAACAAAGATTAGAACAGAAGTAAATAAAATAAAAAACAGAAAAAACAATAGAATCAATAAAACCAGAAGTTGGTTCTTTGAAAAAAAAAAAAGAGTAGCTACTGAGGCTGCTTATGTACAACCAAACACCTCATGGGATTTGATTCCTTGGTTTGGGGGTCTAGCTAGGGTCATGGTTTCATGGGACATCCCAGATAATTGGCCTAATAATGTGATTAGTGCTTCTGTTCTACCTCCTACTTTGTTGCATAGTTCCTGGGGTCTTAAAAATTTCAAGTGCCAACCAAGGCACAGCAATTGGTCTCTATTCACCCTGGAGCAACAGAGGAGGAAGGAGAGTCAGGAACAGGAGGAGGATATGGAATGCGTGGCTAATTGCCTCTGTGAACAACCGCCTTGTTGCCATGAGACAAGAAGAACTAGATGGTGCCTGGCTACCATTACTGAACATTTTGATGAAAGATTCTGTAGAAGAATTCTGATCAAAAGGGGAAGATGCAATAGAATTTCAAACTCTCATGGACTCTAGACTTTCTGGAGCCATGGAGGATAGATGAACCCCTGAAACTATTGCCCTGAGATAATCTTTAAACCTTAAACTAAAAATATTCCCTGAAGTCATCTTAAAACTAAACAGTACTTTGGCTTAATTAGTAAAGAATGTCTGCCTTGAGCATTATGCCCTTTTAAGGACTATCCATATGGCATCAACTTGACAACAGCAACTTGAAAGATTAGGTAAAAACCTTAGAGGGCAGTGGGCTTGTGTTAATGAGAGAGAAACAACCCAGAAAAGGAGAGTGAGAATGGTTGCACAACTCAAAGAATGTAATCAGTGTCACTAAATTGTACACGTAGAAACTGTTGAATTAGTGTATGTGCTGTGTTTATTCTCAACAACAGAATAAGTAAAATTTAGTGGGGGAAAAAACACCGATAGAACTATACAATACAGAATGAACCCTAGTATAATAATAATACGTCAGTATTGGTTCCTCAGTTGTAATAAATGTACTACACTAACATAAGATGTTAATTACAGGAGAAACTGTGTGTGTGGTGGAGAGAAGGCATATGAGAACTCTGTACTTACTGCATAATTTTTCTATAAACCTAAAACTGCTCTAAAAAATAAAGTGTATTAAAAAATTTTTTAAAAGTGAATCATAGGAAGTAAGCCATCCTGGGATTTGTTGCTGGCAGTGGGCTGTGAGAGCATTGCAGGGGCCATGGATTTAAAAACGGTGACTTTGGATGGTAAAGTGTGCCCAATCCTATGTTTATCTCTCTTCTGAAACTCTATGGAAAATTCCACTGAGAATGGGAGAAGAGAAGACTCCAGTAGATCAGAGATTGTGAAGAATTTCTGAAAGCAGAGGGATCAGGTTACCAGAAAAATCTAAGCAGAGGGGGCATGCCCAGAAGTCTGCAGAGGAGATGGGTACCATTTTTTTATGTGCAGTCCTTCTAGAATCAGCTGCAGTACAGAGTAGAAATGGGAGGAGTGGAGATATGAAGCTGATTGATTACACTTTTGCTTAGTTTTCTGAGTCATTCCCACACCACCACCACCACTGATAACAAAACACAGCAGAGGCATTTGCTCCAGGCAGGGGAAATACCTCTGAAGGAAAGCTGTAGCTTTGAGAGGGAAGGTAGATGCACTAGAGCAGGACTCTCCTGACTTGGCTGTTTGGGGAAAGTGCTGCCCCTAAAGTGAAGCCTGCAAGTCAGAGTAAACCTAAGCTTGCAGTTGTTTTCTTAGAAAATGAAACAGCACAGGTTGCCCCTGCCAACCACATAAATTAATCAACACAGTCCTTCATTCATAAAGACGAACCACCAAGGATTATGAATGCTTTGAAGATAACCATCAGCACAAAAGAGGAGGGATTGGGAAGAACAAAGAGAACATCTGACCCCGAAGGAAACAGATGAAATAGAAAGCAGAAAGGAATTTTGAAAGAATCTAGTGTCCTCCATGAGTTTTGAGAATATAGTACATCTATAAAAATTCTATGAAAATGAAGCAGTGAGATCAAGAAAGAGTTTGTAGAAATCAAACACATGATAGTTGTCTTAGTTATCTAGTGCTGCTGTAACAGAAATACCACAAGTGGATGGCTTTAACAAAGAGAAATTTATTTCTTCACAGTAAAGTAGGCTACAAGTCCAAATTCAGGGTGTCATCTCCAGGGGAAGGCTTTTTCTCTCTGTTGGCCTTCTCAATCTTCCCCCGGACGAGAAGCTTCTCCACACAGGGACGCTGGGTCCAAAGCACATGCTGTGCTCCTGGCACTGCTTTCTTGGTGGTATGAGCTCCCCAACTCTCTGCTGGCTTCCCTTTCCGTTTTCTTTTGTAAGATAAAAGGTGGTACAGGCCACACCCAGGGAAACTCACTTTACATTGGATCAGGGATGTGACCTTAGTAAGGGTGTTACAATCCCACCCTAATCCTCTTTAACATAAAATTACAATCACAAAATGGAGGACAACTACACAATACTGGGAATCATAGCCCAGCCAAGTTGATACACACATTTTTGGGGGACATAATTCGATCCATGACAATAGTCAAAAACTTTAACAGATGGAAATGGAAGACAAATTTGGAATTCAAAGCAAAAGACAGATAGATGAAAAACTCACAGAAATGAAAAAAAAATTAGAAGATTAATCTGAGGCAAGGGGGGTATCCATCTTAGTAACAGGATTTCTAGAAAGAAAGAGAAAATGGAGGTAATGAAGTTATTAGATAGTAGATGAAAACTTGTCAGAGCTAGGGAAAAATAACTTAATTCTTCAGACTGAAAGATTTCACCAATTACCAAGCAGAATGAATGAAAAGGAAAAAACTCAGGTGTATTTTGCTAAAATTTTAGAATGTCAGAAACATAAAAGAAGATCATAGAAGCTTCCAGAAAGAGAAAACCTACCCACAGAGGAGTGAGAATCATTTTTAAATCAGACTATTTATTGATCAGCAACACTGGAAGATGGGAGAAGTGCACTCAAAATTCTTAAAGAAAATTGTTTGGAATCAAAATTCCATAACCAGAAACAACCTAAATGTCCATCAGTAGATGGATGGATAAACAAATATGGTATTTACAAACAATGGAATATAACTCAGCTATAAAGAGAAGCGAAGTACTGATACATGCTACAACATGGATGAACCTTGAAAACATGCTGAGTGAAATAAGTTGGTCACAAAAGGACAAATATTGTATAATCCCGACTTATATGAAATATCTAGAATAGGTAAATGCATAGATATTAGTGGTTACTAGGGGCTGGGGTGCGGAGTGGGAAGTCTTTGCTTAGGGGACATTAAGTTTCTGTTAACTGTGGTGGAAAATTTACAAATGGAGAGTGGAGATGGTTGTACAACATGATGAACGCAATCAAGGTCACTGAATTGTACACATAAAAAGTGTTGAATTGGCAAATGTTATATTTTTACCACAATAGAACACTTTAAAAAAAAATTTTTTTAATCTATAACCAAATAGGTGGAATACAAGATAAAACATCAGACATACAGTGCAAGCCAACTCAGAAAGTAAGCCACTTTCAGTGCACCTTTTTCAAACCAACTGCTGGAGGAGAATGTACTAGAACAAAATGAAAGCCAGGTCCAGGAAAGAGGACGACATAGATCTAAGAAACAGTGGAGCTAGCCCAGGACTGCAGTGAGAACAAATCCCGGGAAGACACCTGAGCTGCAGGCCTAGAAAGAATTCAGTGTGTTCAGCAAATAGTAAGATCAAACAGGTAAAATATCAAAGAGCTGGACAAAGAAGGCATTGTGCACACCACGTGCTCTCTTATTCTGCTGTGTCCCTGCGCCCCCAGAAGGAGCTAGGGTGCTTTGTTTGTATCTTTTTTTTTTTTCTTCTTAAAGAAAGGAAAGAAAACAAGTTATAGTTTTCGGCAGTTTAAACAACCTAAGAGATTGTACAATTTGGGAAGTATTCTCAGCCACCTGTCCCAAGGGCTCTTCTTTTTCTCTTCACATAGGTAGAGAAGCATGTGAGTGACGCGGTTTCCAAAGGGGCAACCATTGAGACAGGCGGCAAGCGACATCGATTTGGAAAAAATTTCTTTGAGCCCACCCTGCTCAGCAACGTCACCCGGGACATGCTTTGCTCTCATGAGGAGACTTTTGGGCCTCTGGCACCAGTTATGAAGTAAGATGACCCAGTCTGTGGGAAGTGAGGAGGAAGAATAGAAAAGAAAAAGGAAACCTAGAGAGAGATTCAGTTCTTTGTGCAGTTTTGAGGGGTTGGGGTGAGGGGTGGAGAAGGGGGGGCTGGAGAGGGAGAGAGCTATGTTATGTCAATTCAAGAGCTGAGTTCAATTTATAACTTTCTTATCATTTATTTAGACTACAGAATTTACCAGATTCTTTACTCGTTCTTGCTTTCTGCCGAATTCATTTTTCTTCCTAATGGAGTACATCCTCAAAGCATTCTTTCAAGGGAGTCTGTGGGAAGTTAGCATTCTGAGATCTTATGTACCCGAGATGATTTTTTATTTCACATTCACAAGTAAATAATAATTTTCCTAGATAAAATTCTAGGTTCAGTGCTTTGAAATGATCACTGTTGTTACTGAGAAATCTGATGCCTGGTTCTTTCTCCTTTGTAAGGAATCTACTTTTTCTCTTTGGAAACTTTTAGAGTTTCTCTTCATCTTTGATGTTCTTAAATTTTGCTCTCATATTCCTGGTCTGGCACTCTGTGGGCTCTCTCAGCCTAAGGTCCTAATGTCTTTCTTTAATATTTAAAGTTTGAGGCATTAGTGGTTCAGTGGTAGAATTCTCGCCTTCGTGCAAGGGACCCAGTTCGATTCCTGGTCAGTATACCCCAACACAGCCACCACTAGTCTGTCAGTGGAGGCTTATGTGTTGCTATGATGCCGAACAGGTTTTAGCAGAGCTTCCAGACTAAGATGGAGTAGGAAGAAAGGCCTGGAAATATACTTCCAAAAATCAGCCGATGAAAACCCTATGGATCATAGTGATTGGATCCCCAACCCCTCATGGGGATGACACAGGACTGGGCAGTGTTTTATTCCATTGTGTGTAAGGTCACCATGAGTCAGGGCCTGACTCAATGGCAGCTAACAACAAAAACAACAATATTTGAAGTATTTAGTCTTGCGCAAGTCTTGAACATTATCTCTCCATATATTTTTCTTCCCTCAATTTATCCTTTTCCAGCCTTCTAAGGCGCCTGTTATAGTGGTACTCTTCTTCTGTCCTTCACGCCTCTTCACTCTTGTCTTGTTCTTTTTTTTTTTTTTTTT